AGTTATCTGTACTAACGTTATTCACTGCTATTCCGCCTCCTACAATGCCAGTTGCTATCCAGTACCTCAGTTTCAGAGCATGCCTAACTACTGCACTAAATATATAGCGCCGACCGTAGCGCAAAACAATCCGTCTTGTCACAAGTGGTCTAGAACGAAGATAAGGAATTAAAAAACTATATAATTTCTTTTGAAGCAAAAACAGAAAAAAATACCTTGACTTGAGATTCAACATTGGAAAGAATATTGAAGACCTTTATAAAATGAGCGAAATAAATTATACAAGTAGAGAATGTTCATTTAAAAACGAATTTCACTGCCAACATCTGAAAAAAAGTATTTTGCAAAATTTATAACCCTGACGGTAAACAAGTGGAAAAAAAAACTATATGTATATAAGACGTAGAAAAATGCCGCATTAAATTTTGTCAAATGTTTCACATTTGAAACAACAAAATCTCCACCAGTATTGAAGAAGTGAGACAAGTTCAAAGACCTTCTCCTAGAAAGCGTATATCTAACCAGTTCGAGCTTCAAAACCTTAAACTTCTTGTATTGATACATCTACAGTGTCTTTAAGCCCAAACTATTTTTTACGGCTGTCAACTTTTTTGCTGCATCCCAACTTAAATTTGAACTCACAACCGATGTACTTTTATTAGATGAATTATTAAAAAAAAAATAAAAATTATTTTAAAGAAGAAACACCAGAACAAAAAAAAAAAAAAAAAAAACAGTTTTATCGCTTAAGCAGAATCCAAAAATTCAGACGAAACAAACGCAAGCGGCCAATAGCGCCAAAGTATAGAAAGAAGCGGGATAGTTGTATAAAATTGAACTTAAGGAATGCATCACGAACCGCAGGAACGAAACAGGCTACTATATAACAGTGCAATCCTTAAAATCCAACAATTACATCACTCATGTGTTTTCATCACGAGTTTTCAGGAGAGAAGACTAAAGGTAACTTATATTTCTGTTTCGGGATAAAGTATTTTCTTGGCTTGCTAGTGAACATGTTGCTTGTTGCTGTTACTCATTAGCGAGCAATTATGACAACAACTAGTTGATACGTTTACCTGTAAATCAGCGAACCGTATGAAACAGGATCATGCAACAGCACTTTCAACCGTGACGAGGACGTGAGGATTAGCAGGGATATAGGTAAAGTATAGTGATTTATTGGCAGAATTCCAACGGTGTTGAGCTTCACTCAAAAGTTATGGTTTAAAAAGGGGAAGCCATCGCTGCTGCTCGCTTCGTTTCAGAAGGTTGTTATCATTGTGCGCAACGTTATTGATTACAAATGGTATCTTACTGACAGTTAACTTTTCAAAAATTTTGTGGTCTTCAATAGCTCAGAAGCGTACGCCCCCATTTGCGCATTACGAATTAACTATAGCGAATAAATAATGGTTGTAAAGAAGTTTTTATGAAGTCTTCGTGAACGTTGACCTGTTTAATTGGTCTCAAAACATTTCTTAGCAGCTTAAGGAAGAAGTTTTATGCTGTTTTGCATATAAAATATATCATTTAATTTTGAAATATTAATGCTTCCTTTCTGTATGGAGGGGAAAACAATTTCGAAGTATTATGGGTGAAGGGGAATCTCGTCAACTGATGGCAATTACTAAATACAAAAGTAATTGTGAGAATAAAGCTAGGTAAACGTGGAAGCTTCTTCGTGGAACTAGACTGAAAAGGAGCACTTTTATGAGGAATAATGCTCTACGAAAAGGTCTCGTGCAGCTTACTAGCTGTCCTTTATCGGATAACTTTGGCTGGTCAGTGTGCTATTCAAACTAATCTTTAGGTGGTGGTTCCTGCATTCTATCGTAGTCATCCAGTCTTCTGTTTTCTGTACTTCATTTCCTTCTTAATTCTGTATCGTCGTTTCGTGGCAGAGAAAGAGTATGTAACATGCGAGAACTGTTGTCAACAACTTTTTCGTTTTCCAACAAATTAGGTTTTTTAAATGAAGAATTTGCGGAAATCAATACCGCCTTGTTGGTATATTAGTAGAAGACGGGGAAACATTTATTTACTTTTTATATAATGTTCTTCACTTATTTTCTTTTCCTCCACCTTCACATCTCTCTATCCTACTCACCATCTTTTTAGAGGAGAAGGCAACAGGACCTTATAGTCTTTTATTGTTGTTGCTGTTATTATTGTTATTATTATTATATTATTATCATTATTATTATTATTTTCATTTTTATCTTATAAACAGAACAACTTCAAATGCACAAAAAAGTAGCGAGAATTACTCCGTAACGTTCGCAATGGCGGAAAAAGAACAAATGTGTTTTTTGGACACATGTCGTAATAATTGGAAAAAAAAAGAGAAGAACAACAATAGATACTTCTGAGGTAACGAAAGAAGTCATAGTCCGCATTCAGACGATACCGAGAAAATGGAGTTATACACAATGACATAATGCAACTAATTCAGTTCTGCATGAATGGGACAAGCTTTTTTACCTGATGATGGTTTGTAACAATACAATTTCTACGTGACAATGCTTACGAAGCAAAAATAAAAGAAAAAGTTGAACTAGAAGCTGAAAAAAAGAGAAGAGCACTGTCTTCAAAGTGCCTCCCGTTTCTAAATTAAAACAGGTCAATACCAATAGTTTTTTGTTCAGTGTTGTGAATGGGCTTTGCTGAAGTTTCAAGCCCAAAAGCCAATTTCCAGCTATGAGTCGTTACAGCGACAGAAGCTACTGGATGCTACTGGTTTAGTGGAAACTTTGCATTTCTTCACTCTTTTTCCTTTTGTTTCTATTTGTTTAAAAATTCTCGTCAAGGTGGGAAAGAGGAGGAAGATGGAAGAGGAGTCGAGAGCGAAGAACAACAGAAAAATATATGTTCGATCAATACACACCTGTATTTCGTCGTCATTTCATACAACAGCTGATTGATCATAACCAAATCAACAACTGACAAAGGTTAATAAATAATTATACAATGATCAACAGAATTAAACAGAAATACAGAACAAGAAGAAAAGTCAATGATAACGGTAATCTCGCAAAGAAATGTGTAAAATAACAGACAAAATAAGGAATAAAAAAAAGCATGAGATGGTCAAAAACTTTTCTGTGCTGTTCTACGAAAATCTTCCTTTGCAAAAGTGCTGATAAGTATCTCTCAAAAAATTGGCTGTCAATCAACAATTACGGCTGAAAACGGAACTTTCTCTATCTTTCCTTTTCTTCATCTCACTCTCTTTAGTTTCAATGATTAGCATTGCGGTGGTTTCCTCACGCTCTTTTTTACAAGATAACAACAATAAAACAGAAGATATATATTTATATATAAATATATATTTATATATTTATATATTTATCTATTTATTTGTGTATGTACATATATTTAGCACTGCATACTGCTCAACACTTTTTCCTGAGACAAAATTTTTACCGTATATTTTCTTTACAGTTTTTGGTTTTTTCTTTTTTATTCAGCAACTTCGTTTTCCTTCTTTTTTTTTTTTTTTTTTTTTTGCAATTTGTCAAAAATCACAGATGACTTTTACAAACGTTAAGAAATTTGATGTCGGTTAATTAAACCATTATTTGGTTTCTTTTTTTTCTTTTTTTCTTTTTTTTTTTTTTTTTTTTTT